TAAGCCCCCATTACACAGCTAAGTATACACACCAATAAAGCCCCCATACACAGCAAAGCATATATATCCCTGAAGCCCCCTCCCCCCACCCCCCATACACAGCTAAGTATACATACCCTTAAAGCCTCCCATAAACAGATAAGTATACACACCCTTTAAGCATCCCATACCATAACAGATAAATACACAGCAACGCATACATATCCTTTAAGCCCCCCATAGACAGCAAGTCTCCCATAGACAGCAACGTATATACACCCTTTAAACATCCCATACACAGCTAAGTATACCCATCCTTTAAGCCCCCAATACACAGCAATGTTTATTCATCCTGTAAACCCCCCTAACACAGTAAAGGCTAAATAGCTTTTTAAAATCTTTTTCTCACTGCATATACTTTGTGAACTGGCAGGCTGTCATATTGTCAAATACATAGCAGTTTTAAGACTAAAAATAAAACAAAATATGTAGATGTCACCTTGAAACCTGTACATAAGTCGGTCTTAAAAAAAACCTTTGATAATTCAAAAATATGAGAAAAACAAATGTAAACAAAAATGCACATAACCTTGTCTGTATGACGATCAAATTGATATAATAAAGTAGTAGATAATAATGAGATTTTTGGGACAAATTCGTGGATGTCGCCTATTGATTTGAGAGGATTATTATTGTGTTCTCAATTGATTTGAATTCTTGCAGAGCTTTTCCTGTATTTCCTTCCCGTATTTATCCCGTTGAGATAGACACAATTAAATGTGGAAGCTCTGACAAAATTTCCACATTGCACACTGCATTGTATTGCTTTTTAAGGTGCAGAGAAATGGGACTTGAAAGGAAAAATCCTTTTCAATCAACAAGTCATATTTTAGGGGGTTTTGTCTTTCATGTGAAAAAATAATAATTGAAGTTATTTGAAATATTTTCATCCTAAAATGTCATTTTTACAAGAATAAAGATTCTTTTTAATATGCACAATGTAAACTAATCGCACCATCTATTTTAAATATAAACCTAATATTTTAAATCTTCTCAACTGTGAAATATTTCTATTTTTATGTCCATTAAAAGACCAAATATTTGGAGGCGGCCATAAAATTCCGACTTATTAACGTTTTTAATTGGCGATTTGTTGACGTCAAATACCTTCTTTTTTTTTATTTATGCAATAATATGTTTCTGATTACTGGACACCCACGTAAGTTAAAGATGTGAAAAAAACGAATTACATATTTGGTGGGTTTTGAATCAAACATAACGTCAAGCATACATTTTATACCTTTTGAATATGTGTCAGAATGAACCAAATCAATCCCAATTTTCAAAAGTTTTCTTGGGGAGAAACATCTCAAGCATCCCATTGGAGGCTTTTTCATATAATGAGCTTCAACACAGCTCCTACCTTTTGAATCTCAATCACGACAGTTGTCCACCCATTAAGTCGGTCTGCCCCTGATATGTACCCCCAATCTGGGAGGCTGGCGTCGATGCTGATGTCAGTGGTCTCTACGAGCAAAGATGGGTGTCGCTCAATGACTTAGAAGCTTGTTTGAGTTTCATTCAGACACGTTTTCTTGTGCCTACTGATGATCAGTCACTCTTTTAACGTGAAGCTGGTGGCTACGTTAAATACCTAGACAATTAAAAACTGAAAAAGGTAAGTTTTTTTCCCCTGTCGTAGCTAAATTTTTCTGATTGCGCACTGTATGGGTTGAGCTCTTCATTGGACTTAATTTACATGCTAAGTAGAAGCTACACCTTATTGCGGTGGTAAATAAAACAAAACCTAGATGTAGTCTCGCTGGTCCTCCGTACTCATGTATTAATGGCTATTATCATTTCTTACATGATGTAAAATGACTCTACATTCTTCAGTTTTATTATTCACAAACAGCAGGAGACTTTGAAATCTGTCACCTCAACACGTCAACAAGACATAGAAATATACCAAGAATTTGAAATGTGACGAAACACATTTCTGATTTATAACATGGGGACCCCTGAAACTTATACAAAACCCGGGGTTAATTTTATACAGAATTTTGATATTTAAATGCCTATTTTCTATTATGTACTAATTCGTGTATGATATAAGTAATTAATTAACATGACATTTATTAGGTTATTATGGTGAGTTTTTCAACAAAATTATTATTAATGGATCTTTTTTTTATACAAGTCGTTAAGCACTATAAGACATAAACTTGTACAAGGTGATAAAAGGGAACAATACGGATGTTAATAACCGCTTTATCACTGTGAAATTATAAAGAATTGTTTAATATACAAAACACATACATGTATAAATCAGATCGTAACATCTTAATGATTTTTGAAACATGAATATTAATATTAAGTCAAATATGTATAAATGAGTGTGGTTCGTTAATAGACTCTTAAATGTTTGGGTTTTTGTAAATAAAAAAGTCTTTTGTAAAGAAAAGCAATGTCTTTTCCTTAAAAATATCAGATTGTATAATGAACATTTTGATGGACCGTGAGATTTTTTCCGCTTTGTACTGCTCTGAGAATGAGATTTTGATGAGACTTAGAAAGCCAATGCACGACATTCTTAAAAAAATACTAAAATTAGTCTCCTGTCATTATCCTGTTCAAACAACATCAGCTTGCAATTACATTAAAAACAACGGCGTACGAAATTGATAAACTAAGGATATTACTAACTACATGTACCAGCAATGGTTGATTATACTGTAAGTCAAGAGCGCAATATTAGTATTTTCACAAAGATTTGCATTCTCAGGGAGTCTGAAATTGCCACGGCACCACCAAAGGGAAATGATTGTGATCTGGTTCCAATTTTGCTAACCTGTGGCGTGTTAGCCATCTGTTCCGACCACCGTTTTGTATCAAACAAACAATACATGGTATGCTACGTTTGTGGTTAATATGATTCGGGGAATGTTACAGAATATGAAAACAAACCCGACTATTTTACACAAATACCGCCTCACCGACTCAAAAGGGACGAACTGTTATTGTCTTAGTGCGACGTCTTGATATATTCAAGATGGTGTCGCATGCAGACTTCTAAGCGAAGTAAGATGGCAATAAACAATCTTTGAAAAATAACGATCAAAATAAGAAAAATAGTATGTTCTTTTTGAATATGAAGAAAACATTTCACTTTTTCCCTCATTAAAATAATCAGACAAAGAAGAGAGACTAGGCATTTCCCATTGGAATTCCATCAGCAAAGGCCTCCATGGGAATCAACAAGAAAAAAATCTGAAAAGAATACAGTCATATTTAAAATTGACTGACGGTTTAAAAAATCCGTTCACATCGTACATAAAGAGAGCAGAGATAAGGGTCACCACCCCAGTCCCGATTTTCACTAAAGCCTTATTACTGGACCACTTAAGGGTGTTTTGTAAAGAGTAAATCCAGATTTTGTTACAGGTAGAAAACGAGCTAAGACAATCATGGGTCTAGAAAACATGTTCATACAAGGGCGTTCTGATTTCTAACCTTAGCACAGTCGATAGCTAACAGAGGCTAATGAGATTCAACAGGTTGAGATCTACTGGAACTTCTATTTTGTTTTATAGGGTAGCCACACATGACGTTCTCGTCAACTCGCTATTAGAAAAGTGTGTTCTATAATTGCATATTTCCATTCTCTATTCATCGTCAAATGGCATTAGTTATAATTACATCAAAAGGGATTGATAAATAAACAGTTGGAGTATAATTAAGTATAAATTTTCATAGTGAAGACATGCTTGTAATTTTTAGATAACGGGATACGAAGCTATCATGCCCAACTATCGAACAGATGTGGTTTTTGCACAGAATAGTCCAGAAGTGTGCAAATGAGGGGAGAAACCCGTTGAATTTGAAATTTCGCTGTTATTTAGGTAATGGCGTAAATGTCGGTTCCAGCATGGTCAAACAGAACCTGGACCTTCCCAGCGAAGTCACCTCTGCATGGGGTTGTTTTCACGGACAAATTATTTTCTGTCAGAGAATTTGTACTATTTCTGTCAACAGATTGTTACGATGGCCTGAAAGTATGTATATAAGTATACCATATGGGAATACTGTTAATAATTAGCGATGTTGTAATATATTTATTGTACTGCTTAAACGTATTGACCTCATAATCCTCAAGGTTATTCTGATATTCATTTCTTATTGAGATCAGATCGTTTAAACATTGTCTAGCAAATTGAAGGTTTGGTACTTGTTTTAGAATCACAAGAGAAAAGTGGCAAGCCGATTCATTATATTTAGCAAACATTACTGTGGAATAAATGAAACGAAAACAATATCGACCACCTTTTAAGAAATGAAACAAACTATAGTACCGCTTTTCTAGGACAATTTAAATCCATGTTTTCAGCTTTCATTGAACCATTTGGTTTTTCTAGTAGACAGACGATGTAACGAACACTAGTACAGATATTAAAGGCCTTGAGGTTTGAATCATGGATGTAAAAGAGACTTGATGGAGGGAAATGACCAAATTTGACCAAAATGTGTTTATGATCTCGTCCTCATAAACTACGTTCATTTATAATAATTCCATTGTATTGCTTCACTAAATACCCCCGACACACAAACCCCGTCCCTCATTCTGCCTTCCACTTTTATAGCTACGTACACATTTTGTAATTCATTTAACTAATATTAATATTTATAAGCTTCTGTGTTTGGGAAATATACATACAGAAAATATGGTAAACTTTGTACAAAGATTATTTTAAATTGACTGAAGGGAGCTAACACAGATTTTCAATTAAAATCAGACAACAATACTCCATGTGTGTATTATAAGCTTAAGATTAAAATGCATACGGGAGCCTTTTTCTTAGTTTCCTTTGATGAAAACGCAATAAAATTTTACGAAAATTTCTCCTTTAGACTCTTTTTCACAAAAATATATTTGAAATGTTCATTGGCTAGTGTTATGTGCTAAAGAATTTGTAAAGAATACAACTGTGCATTGATCATACAATTTATCTAAAATGACCACTTTAATAGTTTGAGCATAGAGGGTAATTCAAAGTAGAACAGTCTTTTGTGTCTAACAATCTTTCGTCTTCATTGAACACCACACACAATTTAGTTTCTATTTGGTTGGGCTCGCTATCACCCCATAAACTATCAAATCCATTGTCAAATACTATACCATTATCCCATACATATTTCTGTAGAGTCAAGTTGTATTTTAATCCTATCCAAACGTGATCATTCCTGAAATGTATGAAGAAATTAATACAGTATAAAGTTCACGAAGTTGCAGACTGAAAAAAGGTCATGAAATGAGCACGAGATGACACCTGCCAATGTTTATATACTTAGATAATTGAAACATAGGTCTATAATTATTCTCCAATCTTCATGTGCAATAACGAATAGCGAATACAGCCAATCAGAGCTTTCTGTTCAGAGCTTTAATTGGATGTATTCGTAGGCCAACAACAATCAAATTGCTGAATACAAGAATGGTGGCTATTAAAGTCACGGTATAATACGAGGTTTGTAATACTATGACATTGAGAAGATGACATTCCCCAATTTTAACCTTAACCTAAAGTACCACCTTTACCTTGGTACAAAACTTCACAAATTGAAAAAAATAGTCTATCAAGAACTGCGTGTTAAGTGCAGTTGCGGCGCCAATGGGAATACGTTGGGCAGACTGACTCAATAGAGCGACAACTTACTGTCGAGGCTGAATTCAAAATGCGGCCAATATGTGGAGGCATCTTGTCGCAAGCCACTCTTAAAGATTCTCCCAAGAAACATTTCGAAAAATCGTATAAAAATCATATTTTTTGTTACAATTTGTTAAAAATAAAGTGGGGGTACAATTGTGATACAAACCATTTTTCTAGTACCTCATAAACATATTGTAATTTAATGTAAAAATAATTATCGAAGACCAAGCAAGATTCGGAAAACAATGTGGTAAGAGATTAGTACAGGAAGCCTTAAAACCCCTTATTAAAAATGTTCTATTAAATTACTTAGAATATAAGAATACTTACGGAGCCTCATCAATAAGCATTTGATGAACCATCTGGCCGTCGTCTAGTGACTTGATAATCGCCAATATGTCTCCATTTAGTTTGCATTCTGCCTTGGCCTCTTCTTGCGGAAGTATACGTTTTATAACATTTCTTTCTAAATAAAGATGAACATAATGATGTAGAAAAGAATAGTTTTTTTTTTATCAAATATTATTGAATGATCACCTCGATGAAAATTAATTTCCACCGAGGGAAAATACAAGTTTTCAATTAAAAATTCTAGGATTATCACCTGGGTGAAATACAAGTTTTTAATTCAAAATTATTTTTTATTATCATATTCCAGTAATTGGTTTGATATTCACCGCTGTCTTCCTTGTATTCCAAGGATTCAGATCGCACTGTTGTCAAATAAAAACATAAAATGATAACATCGCATGCTGTGGAATTTCACGGATGAAGATGTAGGTGGTAGTTTGACAGGCTCAAAGAACGACCTTGCTTCGATCATTTTTGTGCCCTAAAGTGCGTATTTGATGCAGGATAGTCCCCATGGTTTCATCACACAGGTAGCACATTACTCGCTCACCAAAATTTATGATAATCTCACGGTCTTGGCCGGGTGCCAAGAATGTCCGAATGATAGAAATGGCTTTCAATAATTTCTTGTAAGCAGATTCCTTGCCTATTTCGAAGATCTGCGACGTTGAATCGCTCCCTGAAAAAGAACGTGAGAACGACAGGGAGGAACACAATACACTTAGTTTGTTGGTGATTTCATGAATGTTATGATTAACTGTTGGGTTTTACAATAATTGTCTATCCGCATAGAAAAAGAATTCCTTCCGATTCTCTTTCTCTGACATCATTTGACAATAATACACCCACAGGACGAACAAGCCAGTGTCTTCCCCTACTAGGGAGGTAGTGTACATCTCTGAAAACGATACTGTCGTTGTAGCGACAAGGACATCAGCATAAACATCTGACTGTATAGTTTTGATTCCCAACTGGTTCATTTCGCTCACGATGATATGCATTAAGCGTTGCTTCTTAGCGCCATGTGACAGGAAATAGTCTCCTTTGCCGTTGAACATTCCTGTTGGATTAACCAAAACAACTTCATTAACATGTCCGCGCTACCTCCGTCGGTAAGTATTGTCTTTAATACTCGGTGAATCCAATATCACGGTTTTTGCCATACTTGCGCAACGTCAGCGTACGACATGGCTATATCCTTGTAGGTAGTGCCAGTACTTTTCAGCGCTGTCATGAAACATTGTTCAATAGTCAGATCACATCCAGTCAAAAATATATCCATTTTCCTCACAGTATGAAGTTTTGCATAATTTGAATATAAAGATATGCACTCTTGAGGTAGATGTAAAGCGGATGTAAAGAGAGGAAGTTTTCCGGATCGGTCAGCAGCAATCAGATTGCGAGTAAGCTGTACGGTCCCCATGTATCTGGAAGTTTCGTCGGAATTTGAGAGATCATCACCTAGCTGCTTTATCAATGTTTTAAGTTTTCCCTTTCAAAATCTAATCAACGGCGTTTTCTCCATAGACTGTCAAGATTATCTCTGAGAAATCAGACAGCGTGGAGTAGATGCAACTTAGGTAAAAAGTTTATTGAGGATGGACCAGGTTCATGAAAAAACCTCATCATTTCAGACCAGTTGGGAGTGATCTTTGAGAACGGCACAGAATACCTCTAAAGGTAGTCAAGATTCCATGATCAAACTTCGTAGTGGAGGGAACATTGTTTCGCTGGTGATTTGACGGTAACCGGCAGAAAATAAAGGATTGGTACTGGACATTTCCGACAATTTAAGTTCAGAAAGCTTCCGACGAGTAACAATTTTTCAGATGGAAACCAATTTTTTGTGAAAATGCTTCGAACATTGCCATTCCATGGAACGAATCTCGCCCATCCAAAGTACGAACATTGTGGTCAGAATTGTCAGCAAACAGCAACAGTGATCCATTGGCTTATGCTCAAGTTTAAACGCTTGATGAATTTTTTTCTCGACTGGTCACTGGCTCCATACTGAGATATTTCATAAAAACCCCGAAGAATAAATTTCTCCTGCTCCTGCATAGGTCTTCCAGTTTTTGATTTTTTTGCCGGTTGTGAAGTTCACACAGCACGAATGGTGATAAACCGTGGCCGTCGCACGCAGATCCGATGCCCAGAACTCAATTGAACCCTTGACTTGGACACCCCAAGTGTCATCTAAACGTTGGCCACAAATTGCGAAGTGTATAATGCAAAGTGTTAAATGTTTAACAATTTTACTTTGCAACAAATGCATTTTGTAATAGCATTGGTATTTTAAAGCTGCAACACAATCGACAATGTTATACCTCCATATATCGCTATGTCAAAGCAGTTTCCTCTATTTACTTTTGTTTCAATTTTGTTTAGGTTTCACGTATTACGTGGTGCTTTTATCTGGTAAGCAACCTCAGATTCAAGGAAAGCCGGGTAACCATTCTATTGGACCTTTAGAAATATGTTTTGAAAAGTAAGTACTTACTTAGTGGAACTGATGCATTCTGAAATAATATAAACAAAAATTAGGAAATATCTAGTGGTCCCCTTGTGAGGTCATCAAGTTCATTCAAGTGTAAATGTGTGATACATTGCTTCTGATATATTTAAAACGTTGATTCACTATTACACTATAATAGTACATGGTGACATTAGTTAAAGAATTGAAACAAAAAAAGATAAGTCAGAATCAACCTTATCTTTCATGGATACATGATAAAATGAAATTACTTACTGTGTATAACCTTTGTCCGACGGTTACGTTTCCGTTTAACGATGAGTTAAAATAAGTCGTATTAGATTTACCATATTCACATATTGTATTCACTGTACCGTAAGCAAAGTAATCACAATATAATTCTCCGCACATGAGTGCACAATCGATTTTACTACGGGCAGATGTTATAGTCGAATTTGAGAAGATCACAGTAAAACTTGGCAGGATCTTAAAGAAGGCATATTCCTGTGTAGTCGGATACATGACAAAATAAAATATTGTTACTCTGAATGAACACGATAAGATATTCAGAAATGTCATTTTGTCGAAGTCATCTCAATTAGTCTTTGGAGATTGAATATACAAAGAGTTTTATAACGCTTCTTAACAAGGTTCTCTTTAATAAATTATTCTTCCAGAGACGTTTAGCATAACGTTAACAGATAATAATTATATTGTATAAGAAAAAGAGAAATAATTGGAGATTGTTAATTTCCAAGGAAAATATTTACTGAAATCCAACAGTAAACTCCGTAGTAGGTCTACTTTTCAGAGTAAAAAAAATCAGATGTCCACTTCAGCGGTTAAAACGTACAATTGGTAGAAGTAATCTATTTCCATTCTCTTGTAAAATTTTTCAATGACGTCATAATAAATAAAGCTGCTATTTAAAGTATTTTAACACCTATTATCCAGTTACCGGGTTGATTAGATGGCAAAGAGCTGTTTGATTCCATGTTGAGAACAGAATATTGATGTCCAAAAGTCCCTAATATAAAACATTTATTAGCAATTACCAATAGGGTGATATGAATGAATGAATTGAAGCAATCATATTTGAAACACAAACATTAAATTGTGATAAGTGATATTTTTTCAAACCGCAATTCGAATGGAATTGTTTCACATCTGCATTATCTAAGGCACAGGAACGACCGCATCTGAACTACATGTACCTTTTCGACATTTTGTTGGGATAAAAATAGATAAATCTTGAACAACAGGGTTGTGCTTTAGCAGTAATTCTATGTTTCACGTACATCGAATTTCTTTTTAATCATTTTTTCTTAAATTCTTAACCAGTCTATCCTTTTTTCGAAACAAAAAAGTTTGTTACAGGAAAAGCTGTAAAAACAAATATATTCCTTTTTAAATTTTTATTGATCAAGTTGAAACCTTATTTCTGTAGGCTATTTGATGCACTCAAAAATTTCATCTGAAGTAGCTTAATTAGTTTGTTTCTTGTAGGTATTGAAATAAATTATTTAACATTCTATAGAACTGTGTTATTGTCTGTCTACAATTTAAGTGCTAATAACAACTTCCTTTGTTTTATGTCTTTTAAATGTTTTATGTACAATATAGATGAATCTCTTCAGCCAGTACTTCAAGAAAAGTAAATCATATTTCCCGATGCCAACAGACAAATAACAGTTGTAATACCAATCTGATGAATTTGTACATCTCAGTGTGGCCATCATTATTGCTTTAAGTGCTCCAGCAATGAGACTATTAAAAGTAGGAAAGCCTTTTTGCGATCATCGCAGGAACTGCCAAATGATTATTAACTTATGCTATGTTTCCCTATATAACTATTAAAGTCCAAAATAAATACTGACTGATGAGAAAAGGAAACTGATGGCAACTGGTCGCTCGACTAAAACTAATCAGTAATCGAATAGACTGAATAATTGAAGTTGATTGTTGTTTTATTTCAATAAACTGAATAATCTTAGTTGATTGTAGCAGTTTTATTTCAATAGACTGAATATTGGAAGTTGATTGAAGAAGTTTTACTTTAAGTTGATTGTAGCAGTTTATTTGAGTTGACCCAATAATATAAGTTGATTGTTTCTGTTTTTTCATCATCGTGTTAATTCTGGAAGTAGAATTAAAAACAACAAAGATAAATATATATTCTGACCAATTTGTTAAGAAATGTTTCCCCTTTTTTTATCGCTTCACAAAATATTGACTATAGCTGCTAAATTTCCAGTTACTTATCACAATGAAATAGGACAAACAATTGGTCGAAAGTTGGTAAAATACCATTAAGTTACGTCTTGCTTTGTATTAAACAACATAATCATCCTCTTACCTATATAACTACCTCAAAATTCTATCAATCTCTTTCTTAAAGTCGTCTGCCTTCCAACTGCGCGTGGCAGGAACATGGAAACCATTAATGTAAAATGCTGGCACTGATAAAACTGCTCCTAGAAAGAGATTTTGAAGATACTGCATGAAAGTAACTATATATTATATAATAACCTTTATATTTAATCATTTCATTCGAATTTCCCAAAAATTGAATGAAATCTTACTTGAACTACCATATCGATGGACCATTCTTGCACTCTTCTCCGCTCTAACATTTGATGCCATTTGAATATGGAACACAGATCTACTTATTCCCAGTTGTTCAGCAACATCGGCGAATCGTCTACAAAATAAAATACACCCTGTATTCTTGATTACATTTAAACAGTCAGCAATCATTATTAAGACTATGATATCTAAATCTCTGTAATTTACAGAGATTAAGACAATGTTTACAGAGATTAAGAAACAAATATGGTGCTCGCTACTCAAAACTTTTTTAACACAATTTTCTGGAAATTGAAGTTTAAGGGTCCTTTGATGACTTTGAATCAACAATCATGCTTTTATCATGCATGGGATATGTAGTATTTGGCATTTTGTATCACAAATAAAATGCATAGGCATTGACTGACTCTGGGGTATAAATAGATAATGTTTACAGATTTAGAAACTATAAAACTAGAAATGTCAACAAGATCTGTCAGGAATGTCCTTTACCCAAAGATTACTCATATCCCATGTCTATCATTTTTCTTATCTTTAAAAAAAAAACAAAAAAACAATCAACTAAAGTCTTCCATAGTACACTTTGGGATCCTTACCCGATCACTTGAGTCTCTGTTAAACTGTTCGTAGCAGAATTGGTGAAATCTGCAATGTTTTGGAAGATCAGTTCTAGCCATTCATTTGTTCGACTTCCATTTGTCAGTTCATCTATTATAAAGGCTCCCTGAAACATAACAGTCAATATCAAAATCATATACCAAACCAACTATGGAGGTTGAATTCAAAATGTGGCGCTTCTGTGGGAGCGCATAGGCACAAGCCTGTCGTGGAGGATCTGAGAGGTTATTCTTTCCCCTAAGAAACCTTTAGAAAAAAATAATTTATTTGGTACATTCCGAAACATATTTTCATATTTGTTAGAAATGAAGTGGGCTCACAAATATGAAAATATG